AAAAAATCAAATATAATAATTAAAGACTTACCAAATTTCAACTACTGTTCTTGCTTAATAATCTATGTAGCCTACCTGGAAATAAATCAATTTTTTTAGGTGTCAAGACCAAATGCAGGGTAGGCACCACTGCTTTCAACTTGGCTCTCAAAATTACATACCTAGTTTCCCTACTGAAAAGTAAACAAACCGAAAACTGTTCAAAGGAAACATGTCGGGAAATACACTGGTAAATTGTCATAAATAACGTCATCCTTAGGGGGCTATGCACCAGCTGCTGTTCTGAGTCAGTCGCCAAAGGATGCCTAAAAGTGGACTGCTTCTAATTCCCATATTTGGTCAAAAAGCAGCTTTATAAGTAATCTCAATCAGGCTGACCAACTCCGTATCACTGAGAAAAACGACTTACCCTGACACCTGTAAACTCCAGGTGAATTGTAATTCTCCACCTGAAGATATATTCCAGCTCTTTTGGTCGTGCTGGCTACAACTTACAAGGGGGCCCAGGTCTAAACTTTTCATACTTGCTCTCCCCTCTAGAGACTGAATGTAAACACACTGAGAACTTTTTACACTGGCCTTTCATTATCTGCAAATGCATATTAAATCATATTCAGTGACTGAAAGGTTGGGCTTAAGAAAAAGAGCCAAATAAAAGGTAGTAGGTAGACGACAGCTATGAAACTACCACAATTACTATCAGTAGAATTCTGTCACAATAGGTAACGCTCCTGTTTCAACCTATGTGAAAGCAGAAAATCAGCCAAAATGCAAAGAATTCTGTAAACCTATGAATGAGAGCCATTTTTCATAGTAAAATGATACAGATATGATATTTCCTCTGGACGCAAATTAACTTTTTAAATGAAAGATTAATAAATCAGATAAAAGCCTTCAAAATCGAAACAAAGAACTTACTGTCCTGAAATCCAGCACCCTGATGGACCCCTTGCAGTAGAGTTAAAATCTCTCGAGCTGTTTGTTCTAAACTCTGTACAACTTTTCGGATTTCCTAGAAAGAATAAAAGATCAACGTATCAGCCAAATTCAACATAATTATCCTTATATTATCATAGCCTCAAACCAAACATATTAGACAGTATATTTAATTCACGACACCTTCATGTATGTTCAAAACACTGTCTCTACAAGGGCATAACTGGTACACAAGATATCCAGGTGTGAATTCTGACTTTTCCACATACTTCCTCTGTGAGAACTTTAGGAAGTCACTAAAAAGCCTTGGATTCCTCACACAGACTTCAAAGGGTAAGAGCCACCCACTCAACCCAAATATCCCACTGGAACACTAAATGGGATGAGCTCTCCGAAAGTAACTACAAAGAGAAGAATGAGATACACTACAAGGACCAGGTATTCTTCATTCATCCATTTTACAAATACTCATTTCTAGACCTTGTGCAAGAAAAACAAGGACAGGCCCTTCCTAGAACCAAGTGGACAGGCCCTTCCTTCCTGCAGTTCAGAGCACAATGAGGGACACGCTTGAAAAACAATGAAGACACAAATGTTTAAAATGGTAATGCACTACTAGGAGACGTAATAGGAAAAAGACCATTCAGACTGTGAGGTCAGGGAGATGAGCATAAGATAACCAGGAAAAGAGTAGGGAAGAGGCGCATTCCAGGAAAAGCAAACAGTCCAGGCAAGTCTCGAGGTAGGAGACTACCTGGGGAACCAGAGGCATGACAGGAAAGCAAAGTGGGCGTAACATACAACGGAAGACGGCGTGAAATGAAACTGGAGAGAGAGCCTGGATTTTTATCCCATATGGAAGGAGAAGCCACAAAAGGGTTTTGAGGAGAGGCCACACGTGCTTTTAACACACTAACAATAAACATAGCAACCATGCGCTGAGTCTTGCGCGCTACCTGAGCCTTTGACATAAATTAGCGTCAAAAAGAACGAAAACTGACACTCAAATGAGGTAGGCGATGTCGAGAAGCCGAGACCCGAGCACAGGGAATCAGGACACGGCAGCAGACCTGGGCGCGGGCGGACGGAGGGGCCCCAAAACGAACCCAGAGGGGAAGCAACCCATCCCTGCAGGTTTCCCCGCCACTCGAATGCGAGCGACCGAGAAGAGCCGGGCGCCGGGGCCCAGCCAGGCAGAGGAAGGGGAAGGGACGGGGAGAGCAGGGCTCACCTCTCGGATGTCCTGCTCGGCAGCCAAAAAGCCCTGCAGCTCCACGAAGATCTCACTCACGGACATGGCGCCGGCCGCGCGACACTCAGCCAGGGCGGCGAGGGTGGCCAGCGGAGTGCGCCCCGGGATCACCGGCGC